AATAATTCAAGGAATATCACCATATGAAATGCTAAAACATGTTTAAATACCTTCATGGAGAGAGAATAAATATGACTACGTGTATTAGTGACAACTGTAAAAGAATCCTTAAATAACCTACATGTATAAACCTGTAAAATGTGTAGTGTAGTCTGTGCTTCAAGTCAGTTTTACAGACGTAAACTCAATCATGGAATACTGTAATACAACTAATTAGAGCAGTTTTAACAATAATCTATTGCGATTATATCAGAACTTTAACTCATGTGCATGGTGGATGGCATATTTAAACAGAATGAGGAATGATTCTGAAATTGCGTTAAATGTATTAAATTTGTACATGAGTCGGTGTTACTTCCTAGGTGCAACAATGAGCGTGATCCTGGATTTGTCCTACACTCTCTGCATTTGGATCTCTGCCGCAGTAGCCATCATCTACACACTACTGGGAGGCCTCTACTCTGTGGCCTACACAGACATCATACAGCTAACACTCATATTCTGTAGCATGGTGAGTCACTTCACTTACATAGAACATCATTTCTTCCAAAAGCTTATACAAACAATTCAACTGAAAACATCTTGAACCATGTTAAAGCCCATACTAGTACTTCAGATTCCTTGACTTCGTGCCAAGGCTCAAACCTTCTGCCAGTTGCACCAGCAAACCAGTTTACATGTGTCAGTGGTTTGTTGTCTTTTCTGCAGTGGTTATGTGTCCCATTCATCCTGATGAGCCCCCATTCAGCTGACATCACCAAGACCGCTTTCAACTTTACCTACCAGGCTCCCTGGATCGGTTCGGTGGATAAAGACAGAGCTTGGAGGTGGATTGATAATTTTTTAATATTGGTAAGTACTGCATTCAGTAATTTCATACTTTTACTTTAGCTGTTTCAGTTTCAGGATCCTGGTATTATGCATGATGCCTCACTGTCACTGTCATGTTTTACTGGGTCACTTGAATAGAGCAGAGCCGTTGTTAAGGTAGTAACCTTCAACAAATTTTACCTCTCTGTACTCTGCCTCCAAAAAAAGGATATGATGTCAAATACAATTTATCCTGGTAACTTACAGGTTTGAGGAGCTGACTCAGAACATTCCCCTTTTGTTATATCTTTATGTTGCTATCAAATGCCAATCAAACAAATACTTCAAAAAGAAGACTTCCACTGATTATGTATGGACTTTTGAAATTAATAAAGGTGAAACAAGACTAAATTGTACAAATCAAGGCAGTGTGCACAACCTAAGTCACAGTATCTATCTTAAAGATACTAGACTGTTCAGTAGACATCCAGGCCTTAAGAACAGACCACCTCGCTCTGGTTTAGAAAACCCTTTCTTCAATCCATCTTCATGTTTCCTTTCATTTGGAAGGTGGACAAATTCACTGTTATCTATTGTGTGATATGTGAAATTCCACCTATTCTGGTCACATGTTGTCCATTAACAGTGAAGTGACATAACTATAAATAGTCAGGATGTCATTGTGGTCTTTGATGTACAGAGTGATGGCAAGTGTAATATAGAAAGAGTGGCTTTGTTTGTTTTTTATAAGGCTCTGGGTAACCTGGGATATCAGGACTTCCACCAGAGGACTCTGTCAGCTTCCTCGTCAGCCACAGCCAGGATCACCTGCTTCATTGCTGCTCCCCTCATCTTCATACTCGGAGTCCCATCTGTGTTGATCGGAGCAGTTGCAGCATCAACAGGTACAGCGACAGAATTAAACAGGAGAGAATAGCAAGACAAATGCAAATTTCCGTTACATTTTTACATTCTTCGTGTCAGACTGGAACATGACCGGGTACGGCTCCCCGTCCCCATACGAGCGTGGAAAGGCCAGTCAGGTTCTGCCTATTGCTCTGCAGCACCTCACCCCACAATACATCTCCATCATCGGTATCGGAGCTATAGCTGCTGCCGTGATGTCGTCAACAGACTCGGCTTTACTGTCAGCCGCCTCCATCTTCACAAACAACATCTATAAGAACATCCTGAGGACTAAGGTAAGAGGAGACCAGGGAGGGAGGCAGAGCCGGGGTCTGTCAGAGGTTTCTGCTTCTTCAAAGGCAGTTTTTCCTTGCCGCCCGTCAACCAAGTGCTTCTCATGGTGGGAACGTTGTCTCTGTAAAATTTAAATAAGGCTTGTCTAGACCTGCTCTATTTGAAAAGAGATAAGTAATAAATTGGCGCTATACAAATAAAATTGATTTGAACTGAATTGAATTGAAGGGAAGAATAGACTTGTGGTTATTTCTTTTTTGTCTCAGCTTTCAGGCTTTTCTCCCTCCCCCCCTCTTTGCAGGCCTCAGATAGCGAGCTCCAGTGGGTGATCCGAGTCACCGTGGTGTTGGTGGGCTTGGCTGGCACGTCGCTCACCTTCCTCAATAACAGCATCATGGTTTTCTGGATCCTGGGCTCAGACATAACCTACACCATCATGTTCCCTCAACTCGTCTGCGTTCTCTTCTTTAACATCTGTAATTGCTACGGCTCGATCATGGGCCTGCTTGTTGGACTGTCGTTGAGACTCCTGAGCGGTGAGCCCTCCATAGGTTTGCCTGTTGTTCTCCACTTCCCAGGATGCACTCTTGAGGACGGTGTTTATGTCCAGCGCTCTCCTGTTAGGACTATCTGCATGTTGTCCACCATCTTTGCCACTTTGCTGTTCTCCTACCTGGCTTCACTGCTCTTCAGAAAACGAGTGATTCCCGAGAGGTGGGACGTATTTAAAGTAACAACCCCGAAACGGCCGCAGAACCTAATATCGATAAGCAATAGCACAGTCAAAACAGGCGGGGAGGAGGAACCTGAAGATCAGAATGAGACTGAATTGATGTTGACCACAATCAGCAGGACTGAAAGAGAAATCATTTAATGGGATGCTAATGTGTTTTGTATGGAGCTATCTGATCACGTCTTTATTTTTATACCCAATACTTC